ATATTATAATATAATAGTAAACTTAAATTATTTTTCAAATTAAAAATTTTTAGATCCCCAACTTCTTATTAAGATTGAATATAAGCGACATTAGATTTCAGTCTTTCATTTTCCACAAAAGGATTCATTTTTATAATTACATTGTTGAGTAGTAGGTGTAAAACGATTTTGTTACAGGATGGGGAAACTACCACTGAAATAGAACCAGAAGGAGAGTCTCACACCACTGTGGACAGCGCAGTTCTCCAAGAGGGTGAGCGCGAAAGAGCCTCAGAGGAATTTGACGACGCGGCCAATGTGGAAGCTCTGCTGAGCGACCCATCCAGCGAGCTTACGCCTCAGATTCGTGCCGCCATTAAGGCCAAATGGCAGAAGATCGTGGGCCCAGACACGGAAATTGTGGTAGGTAGTTTGTCACAGTAATACACATTTAGTCAAAATAACACTCGACTATTATGCATAGAAATTCTTGAAATTCTACTAATCAGCATCATCTCAGAATTTGCCTCAGAAAGACACATTTAAAATTATCAAACACGAGAATTCAGAATCAAAGATTTCTATCTGGAATTAATTAAAATTTCAGTTCAATTAGAATTTTATTCCTGGAAATTAATCTTTGAAAATTTGGAAGCTGTGAATTATTCTTGCCTATTTTTCATAGGCACATTTAAAGAATTATTTTCTTAGTATTATAAAAATGATGAATTATTTAAAACTGTAAAATTATACGTCTTTTGTAATTAAAAGATTGAGAGAAAATTTTGATTAATAGCACTGAGCAAGAATTTCTTTTTAAACGTTGGAAATGTTATTAATTATTAATTATTTAAAATTATGAAATTGATGAAGATTTTGTAACTCAAGAATTAATAGGGAATTTTTTCGTGGATTTTTCGTAGGTAGCACAATTGAAGAAGTTCGCAGAAGGCAGTGGTCTTGGAATAAGCCTGGAAGGGACGGTGGACGTGGAGAACGGGCAGGAAGTGCGACCGCATCATTACATACGATCGATCCTTCCGGAAGGACCCGTAGGACAAAATGGAACGCTACGTTCCGGGGACGAATTGCTGGAGGTAATGCAACACTTCGGTTACCAAGTCCAAGAACCGTCCCTTGCCCTTAAATGCAATTAACATGGAGGATTAATGCCTCTGGCAGAATGTGGTGTGGTCTACTACATTGAAGTTTGACACTGGTTTACTTCGTTAATTTGCTGCCCTATTTTCTAACGGCAGGTGTAACTTGGTTCCATTACTGTGCCTTTAAAGCCACATACTTGGATAAAGTAAACGAGTAAATGTAAAATAATTAGCTCTACTATTTTGTATTTATTAATGAAGAAATTGTAAAATAGGGAACCACTATCTTTATGCTTTTTACATGGAGAAATTTCTTGAGATATTTAAAGATGAGGAAATTAAATTTTGATGCTAATATTGATAGGAAATGAAAACTTTTTGATAGTGGGAAAATTGGGAAGTTAGTAATTTTTTGTTATATGTCTTGTATAATATTACATGTGCAATATATGTATTTGTGTGATATACATGACATTAATTGCGCGGTACTAGTTTCTGCTCGAGTATCACAATATCAAATATAGAGTAGACACAGCTTTCTAAGCACAGAAGCTTAGTGTGGACCTAGCATACTGCCCTAGATAATCAGCCATCTAAGCGCTAACCGTGTCTAATACAGCTTAACTTTGATAATTAGGCGAGAATTATTGCTCTCTTTGCAGTGGAACCGTGAACCTAATAGCAAGTATGTTTGCTTCTAAATTTTCTCTTGAAATCATGGCACACATTAAAATTAAAAATTCCAATAAATAGAAGCATAGCAATTTGTTTTTTAACCTAGGAAAAGCAATATTATCTAAATAAAAAATACTGGAATTATAATAAAACAAAATACCTGAATTATTAGACATTGAAAAATTGTAATATTTTCTTTATATTACTAAAACCAGAATACTAAATAAAATTGATAATTCTAATTTTCAGTATTTAATAATAATATTCATTTTAATAATTTAAAGAAATATAAACTATAATCATCACCATCAACCACTTTTCCGTGAATCACAAGCCTCTCTACAAAACCAGTAAATAATAAAATGATTAAAAGATCTCACTGTTAATATTTATCGTTTTTGCTGTCAACAGGTGAACGGCTATCGACTACTCGGCATCAACCATATGGAAGTAGTTAGCGTGCTAAAGGAATTACCCATACACGTTCGAATGGTATGCGGAAGGAATATCGCCTCACAGGATCCCCTGTGCCCCATTGATACTGCTCAACACCAGGCTGCGTTTCAAACCAGAGTAAGAAGTTGAACATCTTTCTGAGTTAAGATTTAATCTAAGCTCGTAATATCGGCAATTGGAGCGTAACCAGGTGAAACGTGATTTATAGAGCATCCTTGGAGGATCACTACAGAATTTATTGCCAACGATGGACCGTCTGGTAAAGGCCAAGTCTGATGGCTCTTTGGCGTCAACGACGACCACAGCCACGGTGACTGATGCTAGCTTGAATAAGATGAAGTCACGATCTCTGGAACCGTTGACAGGTCTAGCAATGTGGAGCTCCGAGCCGCAGATAATAGAACTGGTAAAGGGAGAACGGGGCCTTGGGTTCTCCATTTTGGATTATCAGGTATGGCGATGTTGGATTGGTTCGGATAAACTTTTGGTTATTTATATGGCGATGTAAGCATAAGCATACTAAGAGGGAGAGAAAAAGGTTTTATTTCAATGAGATGGGAAATACTGTAGATTAACACAATGCAAAATTTAGTCGACATTACCTCAAAACTATGTTATAAGTTTATTATTAGACTGCAAGAATATTTCCACACCAATGATAATTGAGTTGTTCCTGTGATAATGGTGTTGAGTAACATTAGAATCTTTTAATGTTAAGCTGATTTATTGTTACTATTTGTGGGCTGAGATTAGTAGATGATGCAGAAATTCCCAAGATTATTGCTCTAAATAAGATCTAATAGATGAATTACAAGGGATCAAACGTATTACACGATGGAGAACTTACGCAGGAAAGAAACCATAAGAGCATGGCTGTTCAATCAAGATCTTATCTTGTTACAGTATTCAAATGCACATGCTTTACTAAGGGATTGTAGAAATTGGATCTTAAAACTTACTATAATTTGCTTGATTCTATCTATATGGTGTACCAAATACTTGAAGCAAACCTTAGACAAAAATTCAAATCATCCTAGTCAACCTACCTAGTCTTGTCCTAGACACCAGAACTGAGATAAACCTCGTGTTTGTTTGTTGTAGGATCCAATGAACCCCAATGAGACTGTGATAGTAATAAGATCGCTGGTACCCGGTGGCGTGGCTCAGGTGGATGGCCAACTGATACCTGGCGATCGTCTTCTATTCGTCAACGATATAGCCCTGGAGAACGCGACGCTGGACCAGGCTGTGCAGGCACTGAAAGGCGCCCCTAAAGGCACCGTACGCATCGGCGTGGCGAAACCTTTGCCCATTCCAGACAGTATTGTCCAGGTGAGCGATCAGGAGGATCGAATCGAACCGACTATCGATAGGGATAGCGAGACGGCCACGTGCTCGATCATGGATAGCCACAAACAGAGGCGAGAATATTTCAGGGAGCGTAAAGTGAACGTGATTGAGCCGCCCCATCATATGGATTTAATCGAAGGATTAAAGCATCAGCACAATCTCGTTAAATCCGAGAGTTTCTAAGAGCGAGTTTAGAATGGACTTGAATCGTTGCTACCTGAGTCTTGTTTCTGAGTAAACTGGGCACCCTCTATTCCTAATTGTCTTCTGTTTTGAGATAGAGGTGAAAAAGAAGAAGTCATGTTAGATTTATTTCTCTAACTTTGAATGCTCTATTTTTTAATGAAAATTGTATAAGTAGTGGTAGAAGATCATGTAAGATCTTTGTTGCTTGCTTATAATTCATACATTGTCAGAGAAATTACTCAATACTATAGGGGTATCTCTGATAAACTAGCATTCTATTATCAATAAAGACCAAACGTGTGACATGGCTGTTTCTTTAATGTCAAGTGGTTTCACTGGAGATATTAATAGGAATCGAAGGTGCCCAAAAATCTCAGCATGGTTTGGACAGCGTTGATTCAGATGTACAGTTCGATTAACATAGTTTTGTTGGTTAGACTGTACTATGATGTATATAAATCATGAAGAGAAATAGAAAGGAATTGATTGCTCTTATATATAGTAAAATGATTAGCTATACTTACACGCGTTTACACAGGACCATACCTGTACATTGTACAGGTTGATTGAGACAAATTAATTCATTAATAAATTGACAGAATTGTTTCTACAAATGTAAGTATAATTTTTCACATCTTTTTGGCTTTAGAGAAACACAAATATTTTTTGGTGTTCAAAATGATACAACTGATTAATATTTAGCTATTGATTTTATAGTATAAGGACTATGAATCATCTCTGATCTTTGGGATTCGCATAGGTGATCAGCCAAGCTACATTGGTCGAACTGTACACGTTATATATTAAATTTAAAAATCTGTCTGTGCTTGCTCAACCCCGTTGTTACTTTTTCGAGAGATTATTCAGCCTCTGTTTCCGCGTCTATCGAATCTGGATTCGCCTCGCGACTCGCGTGTCTTCGAGACGACCGATTTTCCCAGCGAAATTCGTATTGATCGATCGATTGGACATTTTTCGGTTTTTCCTGGGTACCTTTTTTTATTGTTTTGCTGTTGGTCTCTTGGAATTTGAATCAGTGAAGATGCTTGTAGGTTTTACCCCAGGTCGTTCCTACAGGATGATCGCGATTGTACAATGATTCCCGCGCGTTTTCCGGAGTGTTTCCGTCCAATAATAATTACTAACACGTTCCACGTCGTGTGAATCAATATTCAATTTGTAAGTAATACCATAATTGAAATACCACAAAAAATGGTAACAAAATATAGCAACATAAGTCAAATTTTATTAAAAATGATCTTCCTATAGTCTCATTGAAATCAGTTGATTCTTCAAGATTAATTGCCTCACCACATTCTACCTTGTCAAGCATTGTTGTCCAATTTTTATATATTAAACAAGGAATATATATATGTAACAATGATTTAATTCATAAACTTGAATAAAATTATATATTACATTAATCTACTCAAAATTATATTTAAAAGAGAAAATACACATTTTAATAAAATAATTGTGTATTAACAATTTGGAAAAAATTTCAAATATTCTATTAATGTAGAAATAATAATTAATTATTGATGAGTTCAGGATTAATTTAGCTACTAGATCGTATTAAGGACGAACAATGAGCTGGGTAGAAGTGGTGGGGGAAACGCTCTACAGTGGCCTCGCGAGGCCAATCGACTTTCAATCGAGCTATATCGACTGTTTGACTCAGTTCTGTAACAAAGTTTGCCTTTCACACGGCGTTCAACGTGCAGATACATACCTGTCTGACGTTTCAAAGAGTACTTAATTCGTCATTAAAGCGTCTATTAACAATTATTAGCACAAGTACTTTTATCTTGATAATAACGACAAGTAGTCTTCGAACGTGGTTTTTACTAGAGAATCGAGCCGTTTCGTGGGACTTAACGAAACGGGTTTCCAAGTGAGAGACAAACTCAGGAATTGGAGAACATTTTTCGATTACGATACGAGATGAGATATCGAGAAATTGATATGATTAGTGAAATTCGTTAGATTTCTACGAAGCTTCTCTTCTATTTTCGACGAGTTTTACAGATTTTTCGTTCACCTTACTGCAATTATGAAATTTTATTTACCATTTACGGCACGAATTAATGATTTTCTTTTTGTTTTAGAAGAATATATAAGACTGTCTGTTATTGACCAGCGTAATATTCTTACGTGGATTAACCGTCTTTGATAGGTATAAAATATTCGCAAAAATAAAATAATGGTATTTTTTAGTGGACAAGGTTAATGCGGCAGTTATTCCTGTTGAACGAACAGTATGAAAATTTCTTCGCATTTTAAATAAACATTTTCCAGCGTGTATGATTTATAGATAATAAATAGGGTGCCGTACAGGTTGTTTTTATTTTGTTTAACATTATCCGTCCTAACCCTGTTCCATACCTGTTCTTTTCTTTTCAGTTACACGTTTATTTATTTATTTATTTCGCATTTGTTTTCTTATTTTCTGTTCTGTGGACCACTTTTTGTTATTTTCAACAGCTTTCGTTCGATTATGTATATTTTTTAAATCGAGTATAGGGTGTTTCAGGAAGAATATAAAATAATTTTACCTCTTTATAGAAGGATATATTTTTGAAAGGACAAAATTTTGAAATTAACGGGAAAAAGAAATTCTAAATTATTTTTTAACACTCGTGAAGAATTCTGACGATAATTTTGAATATTCCAATTTTATCGTTGTGATAAAGAATATTGTTTTAGGTATTAATCGAAGGATGTAGATTTGAGATGTTTTTAATACAAAATGGCGTCTGTCAGTGACTTTACAAAGTTTTCATGTTCTTCTTGGAGCTACCTTCTACATCGAACCATGAAATTTAATAACAGAGATTCTTTAGATTCTTTTAACGAACTGATTAAATTACTCGCTTAATTGAACACGATGAACGATTAGAATTAACTCGATTCGGTTTTATAGGTCGCAATTTTTTTTTCCTTTTTCTCCACGAGAAAAAAAGTCTTTACTCGATGTTGAACCGGAATCAGTCAGCGCTAATGGATTTTCTTTCAAACTCTCAAGTTGAAAAGCGAGTAGCTGCTGTGGCTTTGTTCGAGAGCAGGGGAAATATCTAAAGTGGGTTTTAAAATTCTGCGGCGAGCAGTACTCGTAAACTAATAGATCACCACTAAACCTATCGTTTTATCGGTAAAGCAGCTTTTCTATTATGCTGCTTATTGGAAAGAAATTCATGGAAAATTCAGGATAAAGTTATAAACGTCTAGTTTTGATTTAATTCATTTCAAATTTTTTTATTTTCTCCATCAATAGAATAAAATTCTTTTACGTAATTTTATATATTTTCTTTTTCTCCTCCTTAAAGAACTTTGTGAAAAATTCAGGATAAAGTTATTAGCTTCTATTTTTGATTTAATTCGTTCCAAATTTTTTTTTATTTTCTCCACCAATAAAATAAAATTCTCTTACGTAATTTTATACATTTTATTTTTATGCTTCATTTACTTTATTTTATTTGTTTTATTATTATGTTTCATTTACGTTATTTTATATTTTTTTATTATTATATTCCATTTGCTTTATTTTATATATTTTATTATTATGTTTCATTTACTTTCTTTTATACATTTTATTTTCATATTTCATTTACGTTGCTTTGTATATTTTATTATTTTAATTTCGAGGATTTGGACTTTGAAGTTAAAAAATATATGAAATATATAACAACGTAACAAAATTCGAAGTAATTGTCTTAATAATATTTGAAGGAATTTTTTAGATTAATTTTGGAAGAAATTAAAAATCACGTGGGTGAAACAACGGAAGAGAAATAAATGAAATTTTTTAGATTAATTTTGGAAGAAATTAAAACTCACGTGGGTGAAACAACGAAAGAGAAATAAATGAAAAGATGCAGTGTTTTTGTAGCTGACTGATTCCGGCAGCGATTTACAATTTCAAAATTCAGCATCGGATTTCCGCGTACCATTTTATTCAGAAAAAGGGAGAACAGAGAATAAAAGATGAAAACTAGGGTGAAGTGATTCGTGCAAGCAACGTGCTCGTATTTCGATTCTGTTTTTTAAACAATTTTTCTCAGTGCAGATAAACGTGAACAATCTTCAATATAAATCGTGTAATTTTCATACGAAAATGTCAATTTCAACTTCCACGATACTTCGTAAAAATTAAAATGCACACTGCACCACAAAAATTATTTACTATAATTATTTTCAAACCACTGCTTAGAGATCGCATTGCATTTTCCAAAACCAAAATTAAACTGCACGAAATTTTACAACAACAGACTTTTACGTCCAATAAAGGATCAAAGGACTAAAGACACCCTCTCCAAAAAGCTTATTTACTCCTATATAACACAAAGAATCAAAATTCAATGAGCAGTAAACAAATAAAAATTCCAATACAATCACAAATTACACAATTCCAAATTTTCCAACCATCTACTCCAAAAAAGAAAACAAGATTCAAGCAATATATGAACTCCTCAAACAATTACCCAGAAGACCACCACCTACCAAAAAATAAACTGAAACAACACCTACAATTTTCTCTCTCACCCATGACTGAAAGACATAATCGATGACCACCTAATTCTCAATTTTCGATTGAAATAATAAAAATGCACTCTATTCGCGACCCCAAGAAAATCCGTATTTATCCAACACCAAAAATGCTCGAATAAACGATCGAACAACCTGATCCTCGCCACGAAGCAACTGCCCAGTTCCAACTCCCCGAAGCTGAACTCCCCAAAAACGAGGAGAAAAGTCTGAGAGAAAAACAGGATCGAAATATCTCACGAGCGAATGGC